AGTTAGTAGTTCAATGTCCACTTTCCAGAGGCGCTGAAACTAGCACATCGCCGGTCCCAGCTAAATCGCAGGTATGACCACTCTCAGGATCCTCTCTGCCACAATCCCCCATTCTCCAACACCACGCGCTTTCCGCACCGTAGAGTCCCTAGAAATCTAAGAACTGCCTGCCGCGAAATGAACGTCCATCTGGCGTTTAAAGCCAGAAGTGAATTAAAACGCATGCCAAAGGATATTATTATCACTATTATCCAAGGCAGAGAGCATGGTTTTGCTTACCTTCCGAGTTGAAGTACAGTTTCTCCCGATCGTGCAAGGATGTCGCCAGAGCGCGTATCGAAGATATAGACTGCGCTGCGTTTGCTTTGGCGCTTACAGCGCTCGCAGCATCACCTCTCTCATCCTTGTTTATCAAATGTTAAACAAGGACGAAGCTTATGAACGTTGTAACCGCCAAAATCGACGCATCCGTATTCCGTAGGACAACCGTCTAGAGAAGCATTTTGTAAGATAGCCGTTATTATAGTTATTAAAGTTTAGATATCATTATTATATTTACTAATAAGCGGATTGTACTACTTGTAGATCAACGAAGGAGGAAACAATAGAGCTAGTTTTATAGTTTGTCTGACAAAATCATTAGATTATTTTCATTATGGACAAGAATAAGAAGCAAAAGGTCTCTAATTCTGATAGAGATTATAATTCATTCGAATTATCTTCATCTGAATGTGAAACGCCGTCGAAAACTTCAAATCTCCAAGCAGTAAAGGCTATAACCTTAAGGCCAGGCCAGCCAAGACAGATTCAAGAAAAGCCATTAGGAAAACGAATTATACGAATGGACACACCCAACAGTCAAGGAAGAACTTCCTCTTTGCCATATAAAATCATTTCGAGATCGGAACCCGTAGTCGTCAATCAAAAAAGAAAAGTTCCCTCAGACGAATCAGGAGAAGAAGACGAGAATCTAGGTGAGGACGATGCTGACGTCGCTCCTGATGTTTTCTCTCCAGAGAAAGAAAAGAATGTTCCTCCAGAATCCTCTAAAGAAACTGTTACTTCCGAAGAAATCAAATGGTACCCGTATAAAGACACCGATACAGCTGAGGGAAAGATCACAAAGCTTTATCTTCGAGCTCTGTCTGATGCAGCTTTTAATGAAGTTGAAGTTTTCAGATTTCTATCTGTAGCCGAAGCTAATCATAAGAACATTAGTTGCGAGAAAACAATCAGAGTATGGAAAAGATTGAGCACCGTAATCACCACGTGCTCTCGACTTGAACTTAATGAAGTTGCTTGTGATATTGCTTCCTATTTGAGATATAATCCAGAGTCACTTTCTCCCTATTTAAAATGCTTTGGAAGAGTCATGCCTCACATCAAACCAACATCTGACACTCCGACAAATATTGAAGGGAAACAGATAACTGTTATCTCTACTTTAGAAATACTATTAAAAATTAAATCTCTTCAAGACGAGACATTAAAATATATTAAAGAACAAAAACAGGACTCTCCAAGTCTTGTCACTTTACACAAGATGATGGAATCTATACAAGCCAAACAAACTTTTATGATCTCAAAATTAGATCTTACGTTCTCACGGTTACCAGGACCAAGTCAACAACTAACCATTCCAACGGTTTCAAGTCTTGGGGTCACAGTACCACGAACCATTCAAGTGAAGAGACCAACATAAGAGATGAAGATACAGGACCTTACAGAATCAGGGTAAGTCGTAACTTAAAGAAAAAGTCTTAACTATTGTTTCTCCTTCATCTAATCATGAACTTTTTTGATTAGTCATTCATCCGGCAGCAGTTCGAGAAATGATTTTGAATCTGATCAAGAAAAATTATTAAACAAGATTGTCACCCAACCTAGAAGGCCTTTATTCTAGAAACAGGAGTTGTAAAAGATTCAAGATTCTAAAAGAACTGTGTCAGGGAATCTCAAACGTTACCAATAGACTTAAACTTAATTCTTTTAATTGCTATTTTTTTAATTACATATCAATAAGTGCCAAATATGCAAAACTATAATCTTTAACGAAATGAAAATACTTAGTTTGTTATGTTCATTCTTTCAAAATTTACATTCGAGTTGATTTATTTTTATTTTATTTTATGGAATATATATATATTTTAAGTTGTCTACTTGACAAATAAATATAGACAACGTAGATAAAACGTAAACAGATAGATATAAGTACGTATTATACGTTAAACAATAGATGTATGTAGCCGTATAGGAGAAAACAAGACTATATAAAGCTTTTATATTTTTCATAACAAAAAAAATAGAGCGAAGATTATGTTACTTTACCCAGCGATGTATTGCATGCTTGTATACACGCTAAATATGTACAATTTGGCTAATAAACTGATTTAACTGTAGAATAAACAAGAACTATAGAATTAATCATATGTGCCACAATAATCTCATATATTACTCATTTTACAAAAAGAGTTTTATGTATTTCTGTTATGTCTATATCCTTCTGAAAAATACATCTTCTAGAGGTCAAAGATAAAGATATTTCAACGTAATCTCAAATGTGATGTTTATTGCTTAAATTATACAAAGTACAATATAAATAATAAACTGTTGTTCTGTACGCTTATTAACGATACAATGGTTAACATTTCTTATTTTTAATTCTTAAGCGTTGATTATCATACAATAAGTATACCGAATATTCTAAAGATTTTATGCATAGAACGCTAATAACGTAGTATATACAACAATGTCGCGAATGTGAAATTAGAAACTGCGTACATATCCTGAGACGTATAAAAAAATTCGTTCTGTAAATTTAAAATCTACTTCGCAATTTATTCTTTGCAATAGGTAAGCGCAATATTAAACAGCTTTAAATTATGCTCTACAGCTTGTAAAATATATTTTAGTACATAAATGTAAATACATAAAAAAATTGCGTTTATTTTTATATACAAAATATTTGAAATTAAACTTGACCATTTCGGCTAAACTAAAAAAAAGTGACAATATTACGTATGACAATCATTTATTTAAATTAAAAAAAAAAATTATTTGATAAACTTATTAAAGAAAATGAGATTAAAATCATGTAATCGTAACGAAATTTTCAAGAATTTATACCGAACTATCTTTATTATTAGATTTTTTTGTATTATCAACACTTAAATCCTACAAAATAAAACAGTCTGAAAGCTCGACAAATTTAGAATGATATTTTAAATATCGTTTTGTATTGAAAAATTATTAATGTGTACGTAATCGTCGCGAAAATCGTAGACTTTTGTTTCTATTGCCATTTTGAAAGTATTGCCAGAGGTATCGCCGTCAGTCCCTGAAGCTTCTCAGGATCGAAGCCTTCTTACGCTTTGTGCAGTCGAATAAGTGTGAGATCGACGCTAGGATGACGAATTGGGCTACAGTTACAGTTGTGCCGATCCTCGCCATGCAGAATCGAAACCGCACGCCGTGTCAGAGTCGGAATCACCGTTCTGCTGGGCCCCGCCGGACGTGATAGAGCTGGAGCTAGCCGACGCCGTGGACATTGGTCGACGCTGAACAGCCCGGTTCGGTCGGCTGACCTTGCCTTGCAGCAACGGAGTAGTCGGCTGACTGGCAACCTGCTGTTGTTCCTGCGACGAACTGAAATCCTGCGGCCGTCTGCTCCTGCGTTTCTTGATGGGCGCATACTTCGGCGGTGGCATCAGCTTCTGCTCCAACTTGCGACGAGAAACATCACGACGAAATACGCGAGAAATTAGAAAATGTATAGTACATCGAAAGTTACTGTTAATGATTCTAGATTCTATTGATCAGCGAGTGCATTTGTCTTTTACATATTGGCGGTCTCTATTTATACGTTTCCATTTGTGTGTATATTTCTATCACAATTTATACTTTTTTATTAAATTTGTATGACTACGAATAGTTCGGGGATGGATTTTTGTGAATTCGAGATATTTAATTATTCTTAATCTTGTACTTCACAGAATTGTAATATTTAAGAAGGACGTTTAATCAAAGAAATTGAATACACTTCTTATGGAATTTATACATTTATTCTAATGTGCAACGTGTTCGGTTCAACGTACGACGCGCTGAATCCAAGAGAATAATACCTGAACGTTATCCGCGGATCCCCACGATTTATGAATCTTCTCGTTGTTGTTGCTAGCCGTACTGCTGGTTGCCACACCCAGGAATTGGCTGAAGGCTTCCGTAGTACGTTTCACGCGAACGTTCAACGAGCCAATTCGTAGGAAACCAAGATCTTTCTCTGTATATTCAATCAATCGCTCTGTTACGATGCTCTTATGGTTCTTTTATTTATTACAACGTAACTACAGTGGAAGAATACAGCCGATCGACAGGCTCGCGTATATCTCTGACCATTTTATATTTTGCTAATTAATTCTACTACTTATCTTTTGTTAATTAATTATACTACGGGAATAAAGTACTCTTCGAATACTATAGAAATTGATTATTATACTATAAGCGGGATTGTTAAAACCATAAGTTTGATAAAAAGGGGACTAATGCTCTGATGTCAATGTCTATTTAGCTTGTTTCTCATGCATTAAGTTAGTCTCTACTAAAACGCTCGGACACCAAAGGAATTATTTCTTACCTGCATGCTTTTTCCTTGCTTTTATTTCTGAAATAAAATAGAAAATCATTTGAAACTGTATCTCATATAGATAGCGAGAAAATGGAAAGATTAACGAGCGACGAAAGAATATTGCAAGTGAGTTAGAACCGAACAGAAAGAAAAAAAGCTAAATTTATTTAAAAAAAATACGTTACGTAAACGTTAAAAAATGTTACGGGATAAATTAAAATTATGATACTGATGTACTTGATAAGCCTAAAAAGAAGCAGTTTTATATGCAACAATTCTGTTAATAATAAATCTAAATCTACAATTAAAACAGTAATTTCCTTAGTGGAAATGTTATTTCGCAGTTAAGAAGTATGATTCGCGTCATATGGAATTAGATAGAAGGAAGAGACTCAAGGGGAAGTTAGTACGGTTAAATAAGTTAGTATAAAAATTGAGCCTACTTTCCCTTTCGAGAATTACACGTCCTGTCATTGTTATCAGACATAATAATTATACAGTGCGAATAAAATGTGATGCTGAGAATCGGCTGACGCGTGATACATATGTGCTTCTCATGCTTACGCGTACATGCTTTATTCACGTTATAACAACGTATCACACACACACATACACGCATTCAAAAACAATAACAAATAATAGTGGCGGCGATGTGAAATGAAATATCTTATATAACGAATAAATTAAGACCCGAGGGTGAGGAGCCTTATTATACGTTTTAATTGAAAATATATCAGTGTCTCATCACTTATATAAAAAAAAATTACAAGTGTCAAGATCAATTTCACTTCACATTGCCAGTTACATAACATTAATTTTCTACGATACCACGAAAAATTGATGTACCACTGCCACTCTTGAATAATTCACATTTGATAGCCATATAGCGAAACGTACGATCAAAACGCTTATCGATGAAGAGGAAACGGAATATGTTACGCACAAAAAGAGATTATTTTGTTACTAATAACTGATTATATATTAATATTTATATATTAAGTATTAGTTTATGAAATAAATATATTATGCAGTTCGATCTAGAGTTGTTACTCTTGGAGTAAGTACGCCAAAGCTATAAACTCTTTAGCACATCGACACATTTTCGACATTTCAGACGTTTAGCAGAGGAACAGCGATGGACCGAACGTTGCTTGTATAAAGCGCCAGAAGCAAAACGGGTTCATGTTCAACGCTCGCTTCTTTCGGCGAACGACATATCCTCGGGCGGGGTCTCCTGAGCTTACACTCGCGGCAGCGCGAGATCCGTGAAACTTCGAGAGATACTCACGTCAGAAGTGCAGAAAAGTGACAGTCATATGTACGTTACTCTAAGGTGCGCCTACGTACTTTAATCTGGCGACACACAAGCGCTTTACTACTTTAGCGGAGGTGTGCTTCTGAACTTGCCTGAGCGTAGCGGCAGCAGTAATCCCTACAACAGAAGAATACTTCCAGAACCCCGAAGTACTCACCGAAGAGCGAGCCCGTAATAATTCTCTCCATCTTCCGACTACTCGAAATACCGCGAACACATCATGCCTGACCTACGGTCTACACACCTTAAATTTAAAGAGGCGTCTAAAGCGACAGAAAAAGTGTATCCTATATAGAGAGCCCGGGGATGCATTGTTACCTTAGCAATATATTGTTGATAACGGGATATACCGCTAAAAGTTAATCATAAGAGTACTATGGCATGCTAATAGACGTGCGAAATTCAACGATACGTACGGAAGTAGCGATAGTTAAAATAAGATTCAGATGTGTAAGCACGCCGAGTATCTAGTTTAAGAATACTAAGAATACTCGATGAATATACTGACGGTATTATTGCCGCGGTATCACATGCAATCTTCGGGGATTAGGAGGAATCGGCTGTTAACGGACCGTGCTGTAGAGCGTGACAGGCAAACGTCACGAAAACGAGCGGGAGAACGGTGAACAATGATCGACACGGGATACATGGCGGGAAGCAACGGAACTTTGACGGGACTCACACTGACAAGTGGTGTAAATTACAGTGTACTACGGAGCGTAATTGGTTTTACGGTGGCGACGCGAGCGGTGGTCGGGAGGCGCGTTCAGCACGGGATCGGGAGAATTCCTTTAAACTTTTCCAGGCGGCGATTATGTCTTTTGTATTCGCGTTATGCAAACTGCTTTCTTTCTACGGCCCGTTTCCATGTAGCGTGAGACGAACAACATCTCACTTGGTAATAACATGTGGAAAAAAAAAGGATTTTTATAATACGTGAAAAAAAGATTTTAATATCCCACGGTCGAACTTTCGCTGCAATTTCGTCGCGTACGTCGAGACGCGGGGTGAAAGGGGAAGGCTGATGTATGAATAATTTATAAAACATCTTCGTGATCTTGTTCGTCAACACGAATCGGGCTGTTTTTCTTAAATCGACAAACAAACGAAAATGACGCGTGTGCTGCGCGTCTCGAAGGCGAGCGAGAGAAGATTGCTTCTACAACTTGCAGTTAAAGTCTTCAAGAGGTAGTCTTACGGATTGTATTTACAGAGAAGACTAGCCACTAATTCGCAATACGCGAATTGAAGATTAATGTCGTACTAGACGAATCATGAGAAACATCTCAGAATATCCACGCAAACGCAACCCTCCTTATTAACAAAAGTTTCCTTACTCTAAGTGGTATCTCCTTTTATAGAAAGAATATACTTACTGTGGAACGTATCCTGGCTGACTGCCGCCTCTTGCGAAGCCAGATATTGCCTAGCCTTCCTACCGCTGTGGTCACGTAAATCCTGATTCGCGCCTGAAAATACATTTTCAAGATTCGTCGAGATGCACAATCATTACGATACGTTTCTGCCATTGCACAGCCTCCGAGAGGATGCGTACTCACCATATACTTGAACTAAGAGATTGAATATGTTCTCGTGGCCGAATTGCATGGCGATATGCAGCGGCGTGTAGCCCTGAAATGCAACAGTTTTGACGTACATATTTCCGAACAAGGTGCGACGTTTTTCGATCGTTTAAAAAAATTAACGGGCGTATCTCCGATCTTTCCGCCGCTAAACGTACCGACGTTTAAACGCACTTATATATTAATTACGTCCAGGAGTAAGGAGAGCGTATCGATAATTGGGCAAATTAAGAGACGAACAATATTCTCGTTCGGCGAGCGTGTAATATCACGCGAGCATGTATATACACAATGTTCACGTGCTTTCACGTTGACGCAAGGTGCGCGTTATTAATATACTTATAAACGCACGTTCGGTCTACAATTTAATGAATAATGTATCTCTAATTGTACACGCATATATATCCCTCGGCGCTGTCCGCCGTTTCCGGCGCCGTCTTACAAAAAGGATATGCCAATCTCTTTTATTCTTTCTCACTCTTTCTCTCGCTGCGAAGGAAATCGTAATAAGGTGGAAGAAAAATAATAGGGAGGGACCGTATCACACCTCTCTCCGACGGCGCATTGCATATCTTATTATGATTTGCTCGAATGCGTGACGTGCATTTACGAGTGAAACCGCCTGGCGATAGGTGGGAGACGCGGGAAAGAGAAAAGGGGGATGATAGCGGTGCCGTCACGGAGACAATGAGTAATTAATGGCACCGTATTATGAATATCACCTCGAGCGTGCGAATTCGCATTTCCGCGACAACGGCGCGATCCGAAACAATCATGTACGTGCGCGTGCGATGCGTGTGTAAGGAGGGAAACGGCGAAACGGCGATGCCGCGAAAACTGGCCTCGCGATCGCGTGCATCGCCTCTATCGCCTGCACGCATGCATTTTCATCCGGCTCTTATGCGAATCTTCGTATTCCTGTGCGAATACAATGCCTCTCTTTCTCAAATTGCCGCAGGCAAATGGATAATACAGATTGTCTGCCGAACGGAAACTCGAACGGACCTCGAGACACATTTTAATCAGAGTTGTAATTAGGGCAATGTTTAATGTTTAAGAAACGAGACTCGATATAATCTGATAAAGACAAAATTATATCTCACAATTCTCGACAGGAGTTCGTTGATCAATCTGTGAGCAGCACAGAACGTGCGTGACTTTAGGTATATTATACACATATAAATCGATCGTACATGTAAATGAGCAGGCGATGGACCTTAAGGTGAATTTAATTAAACCATGCCATTAAACGATACGAGACCCTCGATATGTAAACGCGCGAGAGAAAAATACATGGCATGGACAAATATCAATCCGCGAACACGTTTTCTCTTCATGGTACTATTTCGTACAAGGTATCTTTATTAAGCGACACCGTTTCATTAAGAGATAATATCGAACTAATCTACAAACGTGAAATGTTAAGTGGGACCTTTACATTTTCATCGTGGCGAACGACACGTCAAGGTCTTCGGGATATCGCTCTGTACGCACCATTTGTTGCGAGGGCAGAAATATTAAGAAGGCGTTATCTCACAATTAGTATCGTTCGACTCGGGCAGGCAGGTGAAAAGAGCTGCTTTTCCAGCTCGCGTGTCAGGCAACAGCTGCCGGCCCCGATGGCCTCTCGTTCTCGCTTTTACAAAGGTAATACAATACGTGCATTTGATCGCGGTCGACGATCCACTTTGATGCGTAGTAGCCATTACGATAGTTACGAGCGAATCCGATAAGGTCCATAAATTGGTACTTCATCGCCGCTGCGAAGATTTTGATCGTCGAAATAATTTGCGCTGTACTCGTCTTTATGCTGGATATCGGCATGAAAATTATGCACGATGCGAGAGATAATCGTTTTCTTCTATACATTTTATATCTATAATATTTACAATTAGATAAGATATCTCTGTCTTAGGTCCAAATTAAATTCAAATCTCGTGGTATGCGATCGTATAATAGCCAATGCTCGCGCCGCCGCTCTACATACCTAGCTCTTTTGCCGAGGGGAAAACTGGTTTAATTTAGATAAAAGTCGCTGAAAGCCGATCAGCCAAGAGGAGCCGACCACGTAGCACGACCTTGGATTAAGGTATGCAAAACGCGGGACGGCCGATACATGTATACGAAGTGCCTGCAAACAGCTTCGTCCCTTTCGAATGACAAATCGAAATTCAAGAATTGATCTTTGAACGAACACACGAGCGACGTGGTAGTCCTCGAATGACAAAAGGAGCGAAATTAAAACTCGACAGGCTGCAACGTAGGTTTCGACACTCTCGGGCGCAACTCAAATGATGCGTCATCGATTGTTTTCCATTGAAAGGCTATTCATTGCCCGACGATCGGACTCGCGGAGCACGCTTCGCCTCGGCGCAATTCGCAGACGGTATCCACGGTGGAAAGTAACCGCGGTCGGTCAGGGACATCGTGTATTCTCGCCGTGGGCCAGCGTTCGTGAAAGAGCACGTTGTTATACCACGTACACGCCGCGGTCACGATGCTCGATAAGTACGACAAATTGCGTGTAATTGTGTGTGTGCGCGAGTCATTACCCGGCGGGGACGAAAACGCGGACGAGCTGCCTTAAAAGTGCGTTTTATATGTATAAAATGTATGCGGAACGAAGGAGGAAGCTCAGGAAGCGCGCAAAGGAGGAAAAAAACCAGGTGCATCTATCTGGAACGCATATATAAAATACCGTTGTACCCTATGTATTTTTCATATTCGCCATATGACACGTATGTAAAGTAAGGTATTTTTAAATAAGCTTCTATTGAGCTTTATATTGAGATCCTTCTACACTGAAAAATTTTACAAAAATTTTAAGCCTCTCTCTCGAGCAATTAAATTACAAGAAAAGAATAGGATTTTCACAGATTGAATTTGCGGATGCAATACATTTCGTTTTAGCTATATACTTGCGGCGTGCATAATCGTAATACATTAATTACATTAGCACTATGTGCGCCGCCGACTGTAAGGCGCCCGTGGCGGAAAAATGCGTAACGAAAGGGCCGATTTGAATCTGCACAATGCTTTTACCCTCAATTAAAATCACCCTCGAGATATGCAACCGGGCGCGACATTTGGCCGCGTTACGGAAGTGCGATTAAAAAATCGTCCCTGTGACTGAGTTCATGAACGACGCCCCGACTGTATATCGTGGCGTTTAATATCGAACTGCGCAATAAACGATAGTGACAAATGTGTCAAAACCGCGATCGTAGTTATCGAAACGCGGGACGCACCCTCCGCGTTTCACGGCACCCCTCGATGATACGCCGAGGCCGAGGGAGAAGAGAAGGGGTTGGCTGTTCGCGCGTGGAAAGAGAGCGCCCGACTCACCCCCCCTCTCAAAATTTCTAATTTATTTCACTTTAAAGTCCCCGCGCCTAGTAGGTATACGCGCGAAAAAGTCACGGCTTATATACACGATCGCATATAGAACGGAAAACGGGCACGTATATATGGGGTGGACTTCGCGCGTCACCCTTTTGCCAACTCCAATAGCATGCGACACGTGTGTCCTCGCGACAAGTGGCACGACACACCCTTTACTGGGCTCACGCACGTACGCTCGCGCATCCCTTCAGATGTGCGTATACGAGGTGTCGCAAAAACAGTGGCTCTCTCCTCGCGATACATAGGTTCTAAAAATCTAATCAAAAAGAGTCGATTATTTAAACGTCCAAATATCGATAGCTTTTGAATTAGAAACGCGACTAGAAGCTTTGTTGAACCAAGTTTTTATTTTATACAAACAGATAATTTTGTACCTTCGAAGCATCTTTCAAGTGGATTTTACTTCAGATTACAATTTCGATCAGGATATTTTGAGAAAACAGAACATATGATTATAAAAATCTGAAAATTTGGTTATCAAATTTACTAGCATTAAATTCTTATAGATTCGCGTTATTAGAAAGTGAGACTTCTGAAACACCCTGTATGTAGGTGGGTACGTACACGCGGAGGACCCCCCCTTTTTATGCTCGCGATGATATTTTAAAGTAGCAATGTCCTGGCACACGGAGTCTCGAGACAATATCGCGCCCCTACCGCCACTTCGTCTCCGTCTTTCTCGTCTCCGTTCGTTTCTCCTCTCAAGTGCGCCTACTCGCGCGTAACATGTCCCTTTTTTCTACCTTATCTCTTCGTTTTTCTCTCTCCCGTCTTCGCAGCAGCCTTCAGGAACAGGACAGCTGCCGGCCACCAATATCACGCACGCGTATATCACCGTTGAGGATTTTCAATTTTAATATTTTCCTACATCGAGCCGCCTTTACGAGCCGCTATATCATAACGGCGTTTTTCTCCTCCCCTCCGCCTATTCTGGAAGGGTGAAGGAAACGGGGGAGGCAGCCCGCACGAGAATATCTCGTTCTTCGATGTGAGCCCGCTCGAAAATCGGCAAAAAGGCAATATCATTTTCCGCGATCTATTGTGTAGACATTTTTTATATGTAGGTATATCTCGTGCTTCTCGTAGCTATATAAAGTGTTTGAAAGTGGGCTATTAGGATACATCTCATATATTTCGTGTGAAGAAATTTCGATAATTCAACTCCTTCAATTCACGGCTGCGGGCCAATTATTTAAAAATTAAAAATACATCATTTTCATGTGTACTACGATAAAAACACAGAATTAGGACACGAATATGAGACTAATCGGATGAACTGAAACTTGATTTCTGGAGATTAGGCTTTCTATTTGACAGTTTACTTAAGTATTTAATTTTTTTTCTTTCCTAATCTTTGGTGATCCGTTTCAGTAGCTCGTAAAAAAATACGTGCTAAGAGTACGTGACAGATAATTTCTCTTGTTATTAATTATAATGATTTCCCGTCGACTTATCCATTTCGAATGACGAATTTTAATAAGGGATTATACTTCGATCACTAATTTTGGTTGCACAAGGTAGATTCTGGTCACATCTACGAAGCCCTAACCAAGAATGACCATTGTTGGCCGTCGTGCGCCAGGCAAGGATGCAAGGCGCCACACGGTCGGCTTACGGGAGTCCCCTGTGGGGACGAGGTGGGCACGGGGGACGTGGCCACCGTTTTTTGCGGGGATTAAATGCGAGCCGATGCCGCGATAAGCCGTAGAAAAGCACGGTAGAAGCGGTACCGGTGACAGATTATGCCCGTGACTGCGATCCACTTCGTCGTCGCAGGCCCCGGCGCGCCCGTTTTATTTAACACCGACCGGAGATTAAAAAAAAAAGAAAAAAGAACTAGCAAGCGGCGGCGGAACCGCGGCGAATTCTTACGATAAGCGGGCCGGAGTTTCTCCGCCGACGAAGCCGCGCGTCCGAAAAAGCGGGCCGCTCGCGCTATGATTTTTCACGCTAAAAGCACCATCAGTCAGATCGCTCGGTGTTTGTTGCATCGAGAAACATTCCGCTGTGTCGAAAATTCCAAAGCTTGCGTGAGGTGAAGCCGCGTTATAGCTTCACGTTTAACTTCTGGACGAAGTGACTCTTCGAGTCAAGTAACATTTTAAAATAACGCAAGAATTCAAAGAGAACCGATGAAAATTGAGTAACACGCGAATCGGAGCACGCACGTATGAGGGAGAATAATTTTCTTTATTTCGCATTATTTCCCATTATCGTGCTTTTTGCAATTTACTGATTTTTCAGGTTTCCGGCAGAGTCCTGTCGAGCGAACCGGTATCGATGCCCTCGGGTGGCGGATATTAGCCGTGGATGAGATCGGCGCCGTGCCACGGGCGATTCCGCGCGCGTTACCAAGCTACCGGGTAATCGCGGGGTTCATTTTTTTTTTCACTCGTTTCCCACCGTCCTTTCATTTGCCACGGGATTGGGGGAAAGCCGGTGCTCGGGATAAGCCGTAGGAAAGCGCGGCGCGGGAGCGATGCCGGTGACAGATTACGCCGCGCCGCGCGATCCGTAGTCTGGTCCTAAAGCCGCGCCGTGGAAAAAAGCAGAGCGAGGATTCGCCGAGGACAGATCTCCCCCGTCCGGGTGTGGATTACCTACTCTACATCGGTACGTACACGAGCACGACCGTATTCATTATATCCGGCGCTAATCCCCAGCAACATCGAGTCAGCCGGGATTGTCATTGGGAAGGTACGAAAATAGCGACGTCTGCGCATAATATGTTTCTGTATTAAGGAAATACTCTTATATTCATATGAACTCTTGATTTTTGCTATTTTTATTTCTCTCTCTCTCTCTCTCTTATATTTTTCAGATTATTTAAAGAAATTACTTTCCGATTTTATTGTACGACTTGAAAATAATCGAGACATTGTTTCAAAGAAGATTGCTGGTTTTTTTCCTCGATAAGGTCCTCTATAGTTGAGAGAACGCTCAACGGACGACAACGAAGTGCAGAAGAACGTGGATTTAGAAGCGAGGAAGAAAAGGTGTGCTGCGGTGTCGACAGGTCAGTTCGGATTACACCGGCGGAAACAAATGAGTCTACCGTGCGCGAAGGAGCTACGGTGAAGACCTTACAAGAAGATAAATGAACCGGCTTTCGGAATACACGCGCTTCGAATTCAATTCCCATCTAATGACGGAACGATAAAAGAAAAAATTAAGCGAGTTAAGTAAGCTCCCGATTACTTGAAACGATAATTCAAAAGCATCGAACATTTCAATTTATTATAAAATCGTTACATTCCCACTATGTAATATAAAAATTTACATTTACGAAATTATAACGACACTCAAAAAATCTTATATGCAATAGAAGAAGATTAAAAAAGCCTAATTGGCTTTAGAGTAAAAAATACTGGCAATCACGGCTCAATGCAGTGTCCGTGATAGAAAACCGAAATAACTTTGTCGTCCAGTAGAACGTGAGGGTTGCCCGAGATGGAGTTTGTCGCGAACCGCTAACGAGCAAAGGACCCCGTTTTCCCTCTTCCCTCCTCTAAGTACTCGCCTCCCTCGTCGCACGCCGTCTCTCGTCGTGAAGCACTCCCGGCTTATATAAGTCTTATAAAGAGCAAAGAGCGGCGGGACCACACACATCCGATCCTATCTGCGGGCTTTTCTGTGCGCTTCGCCCGTCTCTCTCTCCTTTCCCTTTCCTTCCTGCCTTCCTTCCTTTCTGCTGTGGACTGACTCTTCGTTTGTTCTACCTCTTACAACACGACTCGCCCCCTAAACCGATCCCGCTCTCCGTACGTCTGGCAAATTATACGCGATCGTGACAAGGACCGCCGCGGATACTCGCTCTTTCTCGATGTTATCCAAATGTATCTGGGGTACGCTTCGTCTTAATCTCGATAAAAGTTACCGATATAAGAAATAAGACTCGTTAAAGACGTTACCTTCTGACATATAGTATACATGAATTATATAAACTGCTAATCTACTTATCGCGATATTATTACTTAAAAAGATATTAATCAATGGTTGAAATGAGAAGTAAGACACTTACCCCATTCTGCATCGTCCGATGAAGACATCCAGTGGTCGGAAACACAAAAAATATGGAAGAATAAGTTGATCTTCGTTCTTACGTTATTCGAATAATAATGACGGTAAAATATATGATCGAATATAATCGCTTCAATATTCTACATTATACTATATCTGTATCGTTCTTACATTTATAACGTTCACGTGCATTGATTTTATAAACAGATATTTTATTTAGCAATCTTAGAGAAAAAAATACTCACCGTAGTCTCATTGACACTCTTGATGCAGTCTCTGTAGGTTCCTGCTATTAATTTAACGATGTTCTCGTCGCCGTGTTTGGCGCCCCAATGTAAAGCCGTCTGCAACACGCACGAAGAAAGGCGGGGTGATAATTCGTTCGTCGGTTCGCTTAAATCGCACGCCGCGGCGGTGCGGGATTACCGCGCGAGTAACGCGAGACCAACGAGGAAGCCGCGCGATGGGAACGCGATAAGTAAAAATGTATCAGCGCCGAGATTTATGGCACGACTGCGTACTTTTCGGCGGGATATGTGCCGAAGGTGGCCCCGATTGTAGACACGACGCGAGCAGCTGTAGCGTATTTTCGGGGTGACGCGCCGGTGAAATATTCGCGAATTAAGCGACGGCAACGGCCGTGGTGTCAACCGGGACGAGCTGGATGAATGGGAACCATCGCCCGCGCCGGAGCGCACTCGAGAGAGGAAGATCTCGACTGGCAGTCGATTACAGCCGGAGTGCAGAGGAGTTAGTGCGGCTCGAGGAAACCCGGAAAGAGCAAATAGATCGAGCTTGAGTTACTTCTACTTAGACGCTTCGGTGAATCGGAGAAAGAGGAAAAGAGAAAGAGAGAAAGAAAAAGGGAGGGAGAGAGAAAGACAGGAATTCTTGGCCTGATTGTAGCAAAAGTATTAAGTATTTTCAGAAATAAATACTAGAGTATTCAAATATCAAGTATTTCAACAAAATAATAAGAGTGATAAAATATATCGCTAGTAAGATTCAGAGTAAGAATAATGAACGTGAAGGAAATTTGAAACGTATTACATCGTAAATGTGTGGACGACGTCGGAGATATACACAAACAGAAACTTTCAACGGGTAATATCGAGTAAATAATTAATTGCATACAAGTTACATCCTTGAAACTGTTTTCCTGAAAATTCATAATGCTGCTTGTAACGCGTTGTGACTAATAATGCTGCCAAGAATCTCGCGACAGAGTCTTGCTTCGATCATTTCAGCGGCGCTCTATTATCACGTCGTACATTGGATTGTACGTATATACATATTCATGCGTGACTGTACGAACTCTGGTCCAGCGGCTAAAATTAATGCCCAAAATTAATCACGAAACCGCCGCACGACGTCAGCTATTAACGCGACATTCTAGCGAGCCTCGATCCAGGAGGTGTGTCCTAAAAGGGATACATGTTTTTTCGCGTAGGGACGGCAGGGTAAGCAAGCTTTCGTAGCGAGACATGCGTTTTAATTCCATCGAGTCCGCGTCCCGCGGGTAGATTAAAAATAGTGTCTCCGTCTCTCCGGATTTGCGCGGGGACGTCATAGAAGCTGCCCCCGACCTGAGGCCGGCCGCCACGTATCTCGGCTATACCCTCCGCATGGCGGTGGAAGTCGCGGACCACCTCATTAGCGGACGACGAAAAAAAAAGTTCATTCTAACGAGGCTACGTACCTAATGACGGGAACCACGCGCGAGCCCGCCCGCGCGAGCGGGTGTATGTATGAGACGGGTACACGTGGCGGGTACCTCTGTACGAGGGCGTAGGTACACCTTGTGTACGACTCTTTCATTTTATATGCGCGGTCTCCGCGACAAAATTAACGAACGACGAACATATCGAGACGTAGATGACACTCGCGCGACATTACGCGTCGCCACGTGGCGCGAATAACGACGAAAGGAACTTTACGGTATATATAGGTATATACTGATCAACTAAATTGGTTATGCGAGTTGAAAAAATAACTGATTTGTAATGAGGATGAAAAGTATCGTAGCTAAGATCGATATAGATTTTCCAAACGAATCAAAATCTTTTTTATGTATAGTCCATTATTAATCTTTACCCCAAGCAACGCTTTCTACATGTTCGAAGAGCAGAGCGCAGAAAAGAGGACGGAATTTACGCATACGGATAATACGAATAATTAAGAGCGCGCTGTCGCTGTACAATTATTAAACGTACCGCACATAGCGCGACGGCAGGCCGAGCGAAGTCATTAACTACGAAGTGCGCGGACATGGCCCATCTAATACGCTCCGCTGGTCCGGCTGGTGAAGATGCAAGAATCCGGCTGAATTACACGGCCGAGGTGCAAAATGAATTTTTACGGTGGTCTCGCGGGACCATCAGCGCTTATGTGGGTATATACCCGTGGCCGGGGCTCGGACGTCTACTTCCCCCGGCTTCGTGCTAACGAAGTTTTATGAAGCGCGATAGCGCCATACCTACGCCGCGCCGCCGTGGACTTTGGCGCTCCTTAATTTGTGAATGCTGCTGCCGCGCGGTGTCGGCCGCGCGCCACGCCGCAAAAGAATGGTATGTCGGCCGACAACGTGATATATCTTCGGCCCTCTGCCCCGGACCTTCGGGGGGAAGGGGGGAAAGGGGGAATAGGTGCATACCGCGGATATACGGTAGCCTGCTTCTTTTCCCGCCGGTGCGGCGCGGCGCGGCGTAACTTTCTTCAGAACGATCCGGGCGTAAACCGCGCGCGCGTGAGAAAGCATGCGGTCCAAGTACCGCCAAGATCGACCGTGCTTTCCTCACAGCTATTACATGTTAGTCTTCTTTGAAAAACGCGACGCATCAAATGGTTCGATGGAAAAGTGGTCCGCGACTTACATGATGCATTTAGAATTTCTATTTCCTCTCTCTTTCCCTCTTTCACTTCGGTATCAATTGTTGGTTGACATACATGTGTATTTAATTTTCGTACTAATTAGAGTCTTAATTAATGCGCGGCTGTAACCGCGTCGTAGCGCTAACGCGATTACAGACGAGATGTGAGATGACCATCAACCGTGACGGTTACAGCAGTCGGAGCTGCGCGATGTATAATGCTTAACAATGTCGCTATATTGTTCGCAACTCGGTATAATGCAAACAGAGCGGCCTTCATTAAAATTACTAAGCTTCTATGATACATAATTTTTTTTCTTCAATGCAATGAAGTTTCGTCACGCACGTCGCGCGTCCAGAAATAAACTCCATCACAGCAAGAAAGCTGCCAGAATCGCCCTGATTATTCAAGATGCTCTCTTTCTAACCAACAACGGGAGTTCCTTCCCAACTTTCATCGGTCCTCCTTCCGTGGGATCCAATGTTCCCGTGACGACGTATGCACGCCACATGTGCGCGAAACTACGTATAAACTACGGCTATATAGTTGTCTTCCCGTGGATACTGATTAAGCCTGCGTGGAGGACCGCGGGCGGTTCCGGGGATCGAGGAGGAACAGGAGAAGCAACAGCAGCAGCAAAAGCAGCAGCAGCAGCAGCCGCAGCGGCCGCTGCAGCAACATCAACGGCAGCGAGAGCAGGAGCGAGAACAGCAATGGCAGCGGCAGCAACGGCAGGAGCTACCGCGGTCTCCGCTGATGTATGCGAGCGATACAGATATCTCCGGGAAGGAATTTGCGTTGAATTAGCGTATAATCGGCGGGCCGATCTGCTCATACGGAATCCCGCGGTCCCCCGCTTACACGTGTCCCGAGAGCTGTATTCTCTGCGCGAACACAATATTTAGTGGCCGTCGTGGCACGGCGGCGTCGCGGCTGGGTCTTCCCTTCTCATCTCCTCTTCTCCAGTCTCTCTGATCTCTCTTTTCCCGTGGGACCCTCTCTCGTCGCCGCCGCCGCGCCGCCTGGTATGCGAGTCCTCTTTAAGCGCGCTTCCCTGGCCCAAATTTTTCCCTTCTCGCCGCACCGAGCCGAGCCCGACCGAGCCGAGCCGCGGGGTCGCCCGCTGGGAGCGACGGCGCGATTTTGTTATTAAGATAGGATTTCGAGATGCAGCATCTCACCCGGAATCTGACACTCGTTCCTCACCGGTATTCGTGGCGAGTGTTAATAAGGCTGCGGCCTTTGAATCCGAGCTCGTGTTAATTGGCTCGATCATTATTACGTTGATAACATGTTGCAATTAAATATGAAATTTATTAAATTTATATTATTATTACTATAGTACGTCGTTTATTTCTTAATACTTGAAGTGAGTGTCGAAGATATAGCAATTAGGTCCGTTTAGAGAGTTAGACACCTCGACTCATCGATCGTTCTACCGCAGATAATCGCGTGGACATGAGGGTTACGAGCATTAACAGCCTTCACCATCTCGACCCGCGTTCCTTAACTCTGTCATCTATCTTGGCATAGTAAATTTGCCGGAGGAAAGAGAACGAGAGAGAGAGAGAGAGAGAGAGAGAGAGAGAGAGAGAGAGAGCCGATCCGGATCGACCGATTCACGAAACTCTCATGAACGCTCGCGGTGGGCCGTCCGGATTCAGCGGCGTGGCGCGATTCGATCTTCCGAAGGTCGATTCTGGGAAATGGGGGGAGACGTCGGGCGCGTGTCTTCCGACGGGAAGAGACCACAGGGTGATGGTGGAGGAGGTAGGATAACCGGAGGTGAAAGGAGGCAAGGAGGATGGCCGGGTAACGAGCCTCCGGTCACGTGTATGGCGTCGGGCGTCGGGCGTCGAGATGTCAGATCTATCGGCGCGTGCTCGATGGCGCGTGTCTTCGCCTGTTGATCAGTCCTGTTGCTTTTACTCGTGCCCGACGTGCACATCGGGTCGGGCTGCCCGATTGCCGGCATTAGTCATGAATTCGTGATCGCGCGCGACGCACCGCGGTGTGACGAGCGGAAATCTTCGTACGCCATGAATACGCCCGCGATGACGATCATGCATAAAGACTTTGATGAGCAACGTCGGATAGATAGCAGGGAGATAACACGACGAGTCGATGACACGACGCTGAGTAAATAGTTAAACTGAAAGAAAGGTTCTTCTTTTCAATTCTGAAGTATCTCAACGTGTTGTTATTCACCGCCGTACAAGAAAATGTTTTTCGTCTGACTCAATATTCAAGATGCCGAATAATCTTTTGTTACCAAGTTACTTCCGATTCAGCCGACGCTGCGATAAAGATTTGCGCCGCGTTGAACGTAGAGAAATGTCGAGGGGGAGTGTTTTATTTCCTGCAATTGCGTCAAGGAGGTGTGTTACTCAGAGTCCCGTAAAAAGAAAAACGACGCCGCGTGGCGTGCCGGCGTGAACTTTCGCGTCTTGCGCGAAGGATACACAGGATGCAGGAGGTGTCATTAGCATAACGTGGAAGAGCTGTGGTTCGTGATTTATTCGCTATCTCCCGTTCTTTTCGCTCGTAATTCCACCTCCACGCCGGGTAAACACGACCCCAGGAGCCAAAGGCGTCCGAGTGGAAGATCTATTAGAAAGTAAATTTACGCGTATATTTCCGAAGCTTCGCGTGTTATTTTCGGGAAGGAGTCACGGCGCGAATAAAGAAGAAGGACGTGTTAAATTAGCGACCAAATTTTTCCTAAATTATAGCATTGGCTATTTCCAGTTTGGTACGATTCAATTAACGATTCAAACTGTATCGTATCGCGATTGTATTACGTTGAATCGTGTTTGATTGAGGGGATGTTGTATCCTAAATATCGCATGTGTTTCAGTTGTGAAACATTCATAATTATGTAGACTCTTCGTACAACTAGCCGACTTATTATCACAGATCCTGTACAGTACCACGGATTGACGATCGCACAATGTTATCCGTCGCCATCAGGCGCCCGCAATTGCGATCCATCTGTACGGCGGTACAATTGAAAAAACCCGCTTCCTCGTTCGGGAGGAAATAATAAGAGCCGCCGGTGGATCGCGCAAACGAGGTGTAACTGAAATCACTTGAGGTACTCGCTCAAACGAGCTGTGACTGCACGAAGATCTCTATCCCGGCTACCGAGCCTTTAATTCTCTCGCAGATTACCACCTTGCGATATCTCCTTTGAATATTAATTTTTCTGCAAACGCGGTTTTGCGTTATACTACACACCTACGATGATGTGCAAGCGCAATTAAAGCGCAATAAACACGAGAATGACCGTATCATTCGTCTAATTCCAGACTCATTCTTAACGAGTCCGCAGCGTATAGTGTGTCTGCTTAATGAAATTTTTAATAGCGGCGCTCAATCGTTCGTGTCAGAGCTCAGAAAAGAAGAAAAAAAGAGCGAGTAAGCAACTTCGCAGCCGAGGGAAAGCGAGCGGTACGCCTTTTGTACGTATTCCGCTTTAGAAGATTAAACGTCGGGTATTTAAAGACGATGAGTAGAATTACCACGTAAATCTGCGCAAAGTGTGCCCCTGCGAGTTTTCCCGCTGTCGCAGGTGGCGTCGACGAGCCGCGACGCGACAAGACATTGCCATCAGCCACGTCCATTACCTCGTGAACGTTGATTTGGTCCGATGAGCATCGGTAGTCAACAATTTCGCTAGCCGTTCGCCTAGCCGATCGAACGTCCGCGTCTTACACGTGTGACCGTGAGAGACCGGACGCCGTGAATTTATATATTCTATTGGGAGTCTGGGTAAAGGAAGTACGATGTCGTGAACAAAAGATGACCCGTTTCCACAGCTCCGGGATGTCCCAACTCCCGAGAAATCTTAGTATTAAAGCAAAACCGTCATTGTATCCGCAACAAAAAAAGAGTATCTGTATATTTAGAAACTAAATTCGTAATTGATCGATTATTTACCGCAGCCACGCGATTATCAACGCTTGCAGTATTATTCGAAATTTCCGCTCGCGATGAGAACGCTTTCCTAAGCCTCGACGCGAGTCAGGCTTGTCGTCGACAAAATGCATGTAGTCGCTCATCGACGCTTTGGTATCGACAATGCCGAACTCTTACGGCGCCCGCGAATATCGATATTCAACGAACCTCCGGGATCCCCTCGTGGTTTCGTGAATCACGAGATTCAGGGGTATTCGCCGCGGGCACGGACGCTTCATGCATATATCCACCTGCAGCGGAGTTTAAACGATTAACGGGGGCGGTTTCCCGCGAATAATCGATGTCCCCCCGATGTCCTCGGGCGTACGGCAAAGTTCTCGGTCGTCTCGATCCAACACGGTATTTCACGGGGGATTACGCGGCTTACGCTTTCG